CCCGCGGGGAGTCCTCGCCCACGCGTCACCCGCCGCGGCCGCGGGGACCCTGGGACGTGCGGGGTCGCGAGGCCGAGCCGGGCGCCCCCCAGCGGCCGGCGCCGGCCCCCATGGCTGGGCCGCGCGGAGCCGAGCGGGCAAGGTGAATCCAGCCCCGGGGCGGGCAGCCGGGCAGCCGGAGCGCTTGGCGGGGGCGCCGGCTCCATGGGCAGCGGCGCTGGGCACGATGATGGACGTTAACAGCAGCGGCCGCCCCGACCTCTACGGCCATCTCCGCTCGCTCATCCTGCCGGAGGTGGGGCGCGGGCTGCAGGACCTGAGCCCCGACGGTGGCGTCCGCCCGGTAGTGAGCTCCTGGATGCCGCACCTGCTGAGCGGCTTCCCGGAGGTGACGGCTAGCCCCGCGCCCACCTGGGACGCGCCCCCGGACAATGTCTCCGGCTGCTGGGAGCAGATCAACTATGGCAGAGTCGAGAAAGTTGTGATCGGCTCCATCCTGACGCTCATCACGCTGCTGACGATCGCGGGCAACTGCCTGGTGGTGATCTCGGTGTGCTTCGTCAAGAAGCTCCGCCAGCCCTCCAACTACCTGATTGTGTCCCTGGCGCTGGCTGACCTCTCGGTGGCCGTGGCGGTCATGCCTTTCGTTAGTGTCACCGACCTCATCGGGGGCAAGTGGATCTTTGGCCACTTCTTCTGCAACGTCTTCATCGCCATGGATGTCATGTGCTGCACGGCCTCTATCATGACCCTGTGCGTGATCAGCATCGACAGGTAAGGGCCGGTCAGCCCCGTCCCAGGCTCCGCTTGGGGATGTGCTGGGCTCGGAGCCCGCGCCAGCCTTTCCTGGGAGGATCAAGCCAGACTTCGCCGCGGGATGAAGGGCTGAGCTTAAAATACAACCCCACACCCATCACCCCTACACCAATCAAGCAACTTCAAGCTCAGGCTAAGCATACCTTTAAAAAGAAACCTGGAAATATTTCTGGTGTAGTGTAGCGATGGTTCTAAGACCAGAGTTTTTTTAAGCACACTAGCAATTCCACCAGGGGGTCCCGTTGCTTGTATTTTGTTTTCTTGGGTTTTTTTTTTTTTTTGGGTGGGGGGGAGAAATTGGTTTGATGCTCTCTAGCTTGACAAGCCATTGCTGTGACCCATAAAATCATTTCTCTCTTTAAGAAATCAGTCAGGAGGGAAAAAGGCACCGTGCTCCCCAGATTTTAGGAGCTACTCTGAAGGATGAAGAAAGGCCCTTGAATGGTCTTAGTATTGGGCTCTTAAATCCTGCACTCTTAACGAATGCTAATTCTGAATCTTGTTCTCGTGGAAGTCTGGTTTCAGTGTTTGGCCATGCTGTTAGTCTCCTGCAAGCTTACCGACTGGAGCCTTACTCCTGTCTGAAAGGTTGGTTCTAGTCTTTCGTCATATTCCTTGGGAATCTAGGAATATAATCTCGAGAACTCCCGGTGGAGTAATTGAAGCACCAGAGGTTGACCATCTGTCAGGGATGGTGGGGAAAGAGAGAGAGAGAGAGAGAAAAAAAAAATGCTGCTTTAGTTCTCGTGGTGGAGTAGGAGAATCCCCGGAGTTTCTTCAGACTCTAAGAACACAGAAATCTGAGGTGGAGCAGGTCTTTGGCCTTAGGCCTATGCAAATGACAACTTGAAGTATGGTTTCAATACTCCTTGGCTACAGAACAATTCTGTTTCATTGGAAACTGAAATATTAAGCCTTAACATACACACTTGGAATTCTGCTGTGATTTCACACCGGCACAGGACTATATGCCCTGTTGTGTTGAATGATACCAAGACATAGTTGCTCATTTTCTTAGCAGACCCGCAGAACCTTTAAATGTGGAGCCCTTTCAGCATGGGGAGAATAAGTGAGGCTTCTGCATTTAAAATGACAGCGCCTCAGAGGGCGCCCTGGCGCGTAACTGAGATTTCCGCCGGGTTTTTCCCCTTGAAAACATTGCTGTGTGTGCTTTGTTATGTTAGAAATGTTCTACTTCGCTGCTTGACCAGACTTTGTAATTACTAAATAAAGGGGACAATAGGAAAGGAAATGCTTGTCAAGAAAAAGAAACATTGTAGTTGTATTTAGGTAGTGATTTTGATTTTTTTTTTCTTTTGAAAAAAGGATCCTGCCACTTTATGTGTCATGACAGGAGCTTCTGAAAGCAAACACGGAATTATTTTAAGTGTGGAGCATGAACTGCCTATGTGAGAATATTGGCACCAAACTTGGCAGCTGAAGTTCTGAATTACTGTAGTTAAAAAAAAATGACAAAAAACATATGTATTTACAGTCTGGCTGTGACAACAGGAATTTGGAGAGTGCTCTCAGTATATATAATAAGTGTATCCATGAGTTACATGCATAGACACCAACTGCTCAGCCAACCAGAACAGTTCTTCCATGAATGGAGACCTTGTAAGCGGACCCGAGTGTAATAAAACAAATATCAATTCATGCTGCAAGCGATGCCTTTATAACCCCTTCTTCATCTCAGAATTTGGAAAAATGATCAACAGCATATTGTGCTAACTTGTCAGCCTGTGCCTCCATTGCTGTGGGCACATCCAGGGTCGGCTGAGCTCACCCTGCAGTTCCTATAGGGGGGAACTGCACATTCCATGTGCAGTTGAGTACCAGGAGGGACGCCCTGAATGCAGTTTAGAGGTTAATTCATCTTGGCGGGATTCTCAGGTTTTCGCTAACTATATCCTTGTGATTGTTAGAAATTGTGGCAACGCAGGTACATCTTGTATCTTCTGTTTCTCCCAAGAATTGACCCATTGGTAATTTTTCCCTCAATGGAATTTTATATCTGCGTACTATTTCTTTTTATAAAATAAAGAGCTGATAAAATTGGCAGAGGTATTGATTTTTCTCAGAAGAATCTCCAGAGCTAGAAGTTGGAAGAAGATGCATTTATTAGTAAGGTGAATTAGTTCAGGAAAAAGTAGTTTCTTCAGCTGTACTGTAGAACATGCCAGTTAACACAAAATATACCATCAAAACAATTTATTCTTCTTCTGTTTCCTGAGTAACTGAAGCAGGTGGCATTACTGGTCTTTTTAGCTCTCACCACACTAACCTGGCCAAAGTGAAACCTGAAATTTTTCTTCACCATGTCCTATAACGGTGGGCTCTTCTCCCAGTTGTTTCTGATGCAAAAGCATTTTGTACCCCATAGGTCTCAATATTCCCATCCAGCACCTCTTTTAGAGAATGACTCACGTTCATTAAAAAAAAAAATAGCAACTATTAGATTAGAAAACTCTTTTTCCATCCCATTCCTCTCAGAGACTTGGATTTGGATCAGTGCATCTACTTTGGTCTGTCTTTGGCTTTTCATCTCTACTAGGTCAATTTCAGCCTTCCATTTTTAAGAACTCCCCATTTTGGGGCTTATTTCCTTCTCTAGGTTTTATACTGCTTCCTGGTTACACTAAAAGAACAGTATCCACACCATGTTTTCTTCTCTACTGTTCGTTACATGACTTCTAGATCACCAAGGCAGCTGTAGTATTCAAATTCAGCCTTCTAGTTTCATTTGTCCACCCCCATTCATTTCCTATGAAGAACCTAGACTGGTCATTATTATTATTATTATTAACATAGATTTATTTTAAAAAGTGATAAAGAACTCCTGAAAATGAGATTCCAGGGAAGAAACACTCTAATCTTTGAAAAAATATAATCTTAGTTAAGATAAAGTTGGACATAATAAACTACATCTTTTTTTCCTCTTTATTATTATTATTATTAATTACACTTTATTCATTTTGTATCCCCCCATAAGCCCCTCCCTCCTCCCCTCCCAATCCCACCCTACCTCCCCTTTCTGCATGCATGCTCCTCCCCACGTCCACTGATAGGGGAGGTCCTCCTCTCCTTCCTTCTGATCTTAGTCTATCAGATCACATCAGAAATGGCTGCATTGTCTTCTTCTGTGGCCTGGTAAGGCTGCTCCCCCCTCAGGGGGAGGTGATCAAAGAGCAGGCCAATCATTTTATGCCAGAGGCAGTCCCTCTTCCCATCACTATGTAAGCCACTTGGACACTAAACTGCCATGGGCTACATCTGTGCAGGGGTTCTAGGTTATCTCCATGAATAGTCCTTGGTTGGAGCATGAGTCTTTGGGAAGTTCCCAGTGTTCAAATTTTCTTGTTCTGTTGCTCTCCTTGTGGAGTTCCTGTCCTCTCCAGCTCTTGCTATTTCCCACTTCTTACATAAAATTCCATTCACTCTGCCCACCAGTTGGCCATCAGGCTCAGCATCTGTTTTGAAAGTCTGCAGGGAAGAGGCTTTCAGATGCCCTCTGTGGCAGGTTCCTAGGTTGTTTCCTGTTTTCTTCTTCTTCTGATGTCCAAACTACATGTTTTTTTTTTTTTTTTTCTGTTGAAAGTTTTACTATGTAGCTCAGGCTGGACTTGAACTCATAATCCTCCTGCCTTCACTTTCCAAATGTTGGGTTACATCCATGAACTGACAATTGGCTGAGCATAGATCTTAAATATCCAACCCAACTCATGTGATCAACATCACAGGAAAGACACAGTTTTGCCGTCCTGCAAAGCTCCCTGTGCCCTTCTCAGAAAGTTTCCTGTATAAAGCCAAAGCCAAGGATGGCCTCAGAGTTGCTGTGTAGTCCCAGAGTGGCCTGGAAATCCTGACCCCCCGCTTCTACCTTCCAAGTGCTTGGACTGTGGATGTGTGCCACCACACCCAGCTTCAAATTACTTAACATAAGAGCTTTAAAACGTGCAGGATAGACTTCATTTGTTGCTTTTGGAGCTTATACAAGAAATATAAATATTAAAAAGGTAGCTGGGTGATAGTGGTGCATATCTTTAGTCCCAGTACTCGGCAGGCAGAGGGAGGAGGATCTTTAAGAATTCGGGGCCAGCTTGGTCTACAGTTCCAGGAGAGCTAGGCTAAACAGAGAAACCCTGTTTTGAAAAAACTGAAAGAAAAAAAAAGATACAGAAGTTTAAGAAAGTACAGAGGCTTGATGTACATCCAGCTCAGGAGAGAGGTTATCTCTGGTAGGTGCCATTCAGAATCAGTATCCATCAGTTTTATTAAGATTTTGAAAAATGCTTTGGAGGCAGATACAATCTTATTTGTATAGCTTCTCATACATCTGAAATGTATTTTAAAATTTACCTTTTGAAATTCCTATAGAGCAGTGCACAACCTATATGTAGAGCTTGGTAATTTACTGAGTCAAGTTATAGTCAACAGTATAAGAAATTTTATGGTCTTTATAGTCAACAGTGTAAAAAAACACAACAGTGTCAACCTCACAAAAGTCTCCCCCTTCCCTTTTTTCTTCACAAAATGCATTGTAACCTCTATTAGGCACTCAGGAGAGAATAAATGAAGAGTAAATTGTTCTGTCGTTTTCATAAGGAAGCCAATGACATCATCATAACATGGTTTTACTTGACTAGAACTTTTAAAATGGTAGAACTGGAGTTGTATAGTATATGCTCTTTTTTTTTTGTTGGTTTTTGTTTGTGACAGGTATGAGTATATAGCTTTGGCTGGCCCAGTCCACCTGCTCCAGCTTTCCCAGTGCTGGGATGATAGGCTTGTCCTTCATGCCCAGCTCCAGCACACACTCCTTTTGTCCTCCTTCTTCTGCTCCTCATAATGTCCATAAGATTAATCCATAGTTTTAGCCTATTAGTGATTCATTTATTTTTATTTCTGAGTTGTTTCTCGTTGTACAATGATGCACTCATTTGTTATTAGTATAT